AAGGAAAAGCGATCAGAAACAGGGAACATAATCAACCAAACCTGTGTTGTTGGTGTATTCCTACATTATCATTTATTTGAATGAGTGGTCAGAAAAGAACCCAAATGAGGTTTGTCCGCCCCCCCCCCCCAAAAAAAAAAAAGATTCCAGAAAATTTATCCAGCCTGTAGTACTTAAACCCCTACAGAATAAATGATAGCTTAAATACTTTGGAAAGGTTCATCTTCAATGTGCAAGTTTATTTGAAAAAACTGATCAATCATCACTCTAAGTCCTGGTGGAATCACCAGCGGGACATAAGATTATAGGACCCCTTTGACTCTGAAGCTTGACACTTTGGGAAAAATTGACCTCAATTGCTTTTGTCTGTCAAGTGAAGGTAATCTTTCCATCATGAAGACGACCCCCCCCCCCCCCCCCCCCCCTTTAAAATCAAGAGGACACAAGGAGAACAGGCTTTCTAAATTCGTCATTGGAGTGTAAGTGATTCCCAGCAGTGAGCGTATAACGGTCCCCCAGAGATCCTCCATAAACAGGGTGCGAATTAGATTGTTTGGATAGATTCCTTAGCGAGAGGGAACCCCAGAGGCTTCTGGGTAATATTCCTAGAAGGGAATGAGGTTCAAGGTGAGTGAGATCAGATCACGTCAGACACCGCATTGATTCACTGGTGTCCTGGAGCTAAACATATGCTGTTTGGATTTCGGGGACCGTTGAATTTGTGCGGCCTGTCATCATGATGCATGTGTTTGGAGAATAAGATGTCCCCCTAAGGAACATCTTGTGAGCATTTTGGGATGTTATTTTCTGCTTTTGTGTTGTTATAAAGTGACATGCTGTTTGCACACGTGTAGATTTGGAAACATGTGTTTGAATATTTCATTTTTTTCACACTTAGGCGTGTACATGTACATGTGTATGGTCAACTGTACTTGCACGGATCCTAGGATCCGTGATGATAATGAAGCATGCAAGTCTTTGATGGAATCTGATCCGACATCTGTTCCTGTAGGCCTACTGGGTTAGCTGTTAATTAACTGATCATTTTGAGCAACTGTTGTGCACGTACATGAACATGGGGATGGTGTCGTACGTGTGATTTCACCTGTACAGGCCTTCATGTAAAATATCAGCTAATTAATGTACACATACTCTGCATAATGAGTGATTGAAGTTTCAAAATTAAGCCTGTGTGAAGGTACAGGTACATGTACATGTACAAATGGATAAGGAGCTACAAAAAGCAGAAAAAAATACAACAAAATTATGTGTACAACAAATGAATCTGGCGACGGTCATGCTTTGGTTTGTGAGATGAGCTTAATATTTTGCTGTCAGCCTTGCTTTTGTAGAATTCTCTGTTTACAGTAACAGCTCTGGTGAGGTGCATGATGTGTGCAAGTTCACCTCTCAGCTCAGTGTTGACTACTGTCTGGCAGGAGCAGTACATGTACAATGTACATGTACATGCGTACAATGTATACAATGTATACAATGTATACAATGTATACAATGTATACAATGTATACAATGTATACATGTACATGTACATGTACACAATGTACCATGAGCGTTGTAGGATTTTTGGTCATTTTGTTAATCAAGTAACACTACAACTACATTTATTGTACTGTACATTGTTGACTTTGGTCTGGCTTTAGCATCCATTAAACCATAGAGCTCTATGATTTAAGAGTGCCTTGATTAAATTTACAAAGTTCACAGTCCTAGTGCATGTAACAAGTTCTGTTTTTGTCATAACCGTATCTAGTAGAACATGTACTGGGGTGTTCTTCAAGTCTTCTTCAAAGTTCAAGTGTTAAGTAAATAGCTAGCTCCAGGTTATGGTGTTCTTCAGGTTATAGCTCTGTATTTTTAGTTTCAACTCAGATTCTTACGTACACTACCTGAGGTGGACAGTAGATCAAGTTGCAAGCATATTCAGGCCAAGGGGGGAAAAAAAGGTTTTTCATCAACTTTTTGAAAGGGAGGAGGCGGAGTTTGCCAGACACCGGATGGATTCGTCCATTTCATTTTCTCAATTCTTTTGCTGATACGTATCTGTGTCTAAAGCAGCCGTCACCCTTTGATACCAGATTTTGAACTTGCATGTATACTGTACATAGCTACAATTTTGCTGAAAACAAACAGACAAAAGATATTGCAAATTGAGATTTAAAAAATGGGGGGGGGGGGGAGAGATGTGGGCAGAAAAAGAGAAGTGTGCGGGGAAGAGAATTTTTTTTTTTTACGTGGCCTTATTCTCTGTATGTTTATAGTTTTTGTTTTTGACTTGGCCCTGCTCTGCATTTAATTTCATAATCTTTCAAAGATTTTGAAAGTAAATAAGGAAGAAGCTACCGTAAGGGGATTAGTCAGCAGTTAAGATACACATATGAAGAGTTTATTCAGTTCCAGTTTAAAAGCATTGTTCAAACTACAAGTAGCGATAAGACCTTTGCCTGTGGTCTTATTGTGTTTACTGATAAACATGAGCAATAATTTGTATACTTAAGGTTTATCTTATTTGGATGGGATGGACTTTAGTTGATCATATCTGAGCTTTCCTTTTGACAACAGTAGCAAAAAGATTTATGAACTCTGCTTGGCTAGTAATAAAAACTGTGTTCATTGTACATAGTCTGGTCCCGTTGTTTGCAAATGGCGGATTTAAGGCAAAAACAAAAAGTCTCCGGTTTCTGGTAAGTGGTATGGAGCTTGCCCAAAAAGTGGTGCGGCGATGTGCCTTTTTTTTTTTTACCTGTTTTTTTTGCTTCAAATGTCAGCTGATGACTGCAAAATGGTGCCCGACTAAACTTAGTGCAAATATATGGGAGTCCAGAGAGGCCACATAAAGCTTATTCTCGACCATAACCCAATCTAAAAACACATTAAAATTGTGCAGCAGCAGGATTCCAGTCAAACCAATGAGTTTGGCGGTTTTGAGACATCATCTTTCATTGAAAAAAAAACTTTTTCATTTTGCCGACACGCATGGCTACGGCGACGCGCGCGCATACCAGAAACCGGAGACTTTTTTTTTGGCCTATAATGTGCATTTGTACGGATTTGTGTCCACATTAGTTACATTTACTATGTATTTTAACATGTACATGTACACGTACTTCATACATGTGTACGTGCATGTACATGTATACGTGTATTTTATGTACATTGCAACATACTTCAACATATAAGCATTCCTTTTAGATTTGAGTATTGAGACTCAAAAGATGTAGAGAATTTATGAAAGTTTGTTCTCTTTTACATACATGTACCGGTACTTGATTTCCAAATGAATATTAAGACTCAGCTTTACAATTTCTGTTACCTTCAAGACATCATCAGACATTAACTTCACAAAGAGTTTGATGATGAATTTGTACAAAACCATCTATGTACCGGTACATTATATTCTTTAGACCAGTTAGCCTTCGATTATTGAACAAGGGAAATAATCTTACATGTTGTACATTTGTACTAAATTTTAACCACTGCTACATGTACAGTCAAACACAAAACTGATTCAGGTAGGCCAACCGAAAGAAGCTGTCATTAACTGAACAAAAAAGAAATATTACTTAATACGCATTTGACCTTCAAACTGTGTACTGTTATTCTTCAATATTTTTTTATAGTGATTAGTGTTCTTTGAAAGCTAACACAAATCGATAATACAGTGTTTTCTTTCGCTGGCGGCCACACAATGCAAAACACTTGAGAGAGCTTAGCCGTTGTGATGTCTGGCTTCATTGTTGGCCGGTAACCCATAACTGGTAACCGGCATACCAGGGGGGCCTTGTAGTGGCTAGCCTACTTAGTGCCCCCTGGTAAGCCCTGGAGAAGCAAGCCCAAATCACCCCCTGATCCAAGGAAACCCGCCTGGTTTCGCTCCCAGGGCAAGGTGTCAAAGCCAAACAACCCTTTTGGAAACTGTTTGGGACAAATGACCTCCTTTTGAAAAAGTTGCGAAAATTGGACAGAGGGTTTAGGAAAATTGGAATGAGAGTCAGAAATTGTGGAGTCAGCAGTGAATTGAAACTGCATATAATTATCTTTTTATTGCTGGGTGTCATGATTGGCCTTTCAAATGAGGAGGTCAGGAGAACACAATGCATGCAGCATTGCACAAAGTGGAAACTACAATACGTATTTCTGAAGAGTACTGATGAGATTTTTAGTCCGTTTCAGATTATTGATGCTGTTTAGTTCTGATACATGTTAACATTCATTGGGACATCTAACTTTTTTAGTAAGGAGTGATGGCAGCCTACCGATGCATTTATTATTATATACATGTATTTGGACTGAACAATGTGTGGGTGATCAAATCACAGAAATGAAACAATGTGAAACTATTCATGAGCAAAAGCAGGTTTTACCCTAAAATGTCATAGGAATTTACCGACAGGAACAGACAAACTACAATAAAGACTTGAATAGGAGGGCATCTAAAGAAACGCTTTCATGTATCCATTCCATCTGACATTCGACCTAAAACCCCCAAGAGATGTAATACACAAATAGGGGGGGGGGGGGGGGGGGGGGGGGGGGGGGGGGGGGGGACATGTTGGAATGAACATGACTTTGAAGGTTTTTCAAAGTTGAGATTTAGCAAAAACATTTTATCAAACTTAAATTTCTTGATTAAATGGAATATAATGGTACAACATTTGCAAATGTTCATCAAAAAACAAAACTACCAATTTATTATGAAATACCTCACTGTTCTGTTAGTGAATGACAGTCTAAAGCATCTTGTACATTGTAAATCATGGCACCTGGTGTGCTGTCAAGTGTAAGTCAGTCAGTCAGTGAGTCAGGAACCAGCCATACATTTTCTGTGTGATACCGGTATCTCTACCCCTACCAGGTCTTGCATGATTGGCATTTCGTATGAAGGCGCTCATCATACAGTTTTCCCAAGCAATGTGGGTGTGAGTTTTCATTGAGCTCTTTTTAAACCTCGCCTCTTTCTCTGTGATTCTCTCTTCCACCAACAGGTCTGGAGCGGCTGACATGCTATTAGTCATCCCTCACCATGCCTTATGAAGGCACGCTCTATGAGTTCCTTAGCGAGGTGGGCCTGCAGCAGTACCACCAGGATTTCGTCAGCAAGCTTGGAGTGACGGCCATCGATCACCTTGCCTACGTCCAGGCAGATGATGTGTTCTCGTTGGGCATGACCCTGCCTGAGTGGAGGCGGCTCCGAGCATCAATGAAGAAAGTCAAGAAGGGCAAATTCAAACCTGGGGTGAGTAGAAGCATAAAGTCATGTTGTGTTTGGTCTCCATGTCATGACTCCTCATTTTGTTTGTGTCCCCCCCCCCCCCCCACTTTTTCGTCCCCCTCCAAAACAAATATAGCCTACCGGTACATATAATTCTAAAGCTTAGAATAGCTGATTTTATCACTCCAAACTCAACAATGATGTTTAAATTATGATCTTTTGCTCAAAAAAATTGGTTAAAGTGGTCAGAAAATGTCTCCGATCGCACCACAGAGCATCTATGTAGATTCCAAAAATTTTGCCCGAACCCCAAGCTGATCAAAGAATGTCCCCACCCCCCAACTTTTGAAAAGTGATTGACGCTCTTGCATGAGTATTAGAAGTCATCAGCAATGCGTTCAGATTTTTCTCCCAGTGGTCTCTCCTAACTCTCCCTTTATTACTGTTGAGGGGGTACTTGTGCATGAAGCCCTAGCTAAGACAGAGAGATGACAATTCACATCCTTTAAGATGGAATTAATCTAAGCAGGGATGCAGAGTGAAATTCATGACCACAATGAAATGATAGCCATCAATCGCAAAAAAAACAGTATTTTTTTTTAAATAACAAAATGAATGTGGAGAGAAATTGACGAAGGTCCAGCATTTCAGGATGGATTAAACATTCAAGTTCATTTGCAAACTCCCAAGTGAGCTGCTTGTTGCTGCGCCTTAGAAACGAAAAAAACATACTCCTGAAACTGCATGGCATTCCCAAGAGTTCCTAGGGGCACGACATTACCCGCTTTCCATCATGTGGTATGTACATGTAGGATTGTGGTTTTATCTTGGGGAGGGAAGGATTTGAAAGGGGGGTGAATTGACCTTGTCTGTTATTGGATAATGGGACTAATCTACCCTTGTTATTAACGTCATTGCTGTCAGACTAGAAACCAGAATGATGTGGTTAGGCCAGCATGTGTGAGTCATCTTGTTGATCCAGCAACTTTTAAAGGGGCACAATTCAGACCCTTTGATTCATACAGTTTGCGCTTGGTTTTCCTGTGTTACAAATGAAGACTATCGGTTTCCGTCACCTAGAGGCTGCTCTGTTCCAAGAAGTTTGCCTGAAAATTGGTGATAACTACATGTACATGTACATGTACTTCAAGGTTTCACGATTCGTATATGGGCATGTTGTGTACATGCATTGTACTTGTACCTGTATGTATAACAGGTGTTTTCCATTAAGTAAATGCTTAGCCTTTGCCATTTTGGAGAGCATATAAGTACATGTCTGCCTTTGCCCACAATAAGCCGTTTAAATTGCTTTTGTTTCTAATGTTTTACTTGAAAAAGTTAGAAGTGTAATTCCCCTATTAATTAAATGTAACTCACCAATTTTCTTTTATTTGTCATAACAAATGTTTGTCAAAATGTAGGATTGGGATATTTGTAAAATTTATGTCCATGTCACAAAAAACCAAAGATACATTGTACATGTACATGTAACAGAAAACATCACTGTGGTATATATGCGTTGAAGATGTCTTGGAAGGTACATTGTATTCTTTGTTATTTTAATCAATGACTGCTCAAGATGTTTACCCATGCCTATCCCAGCAATAGCACCGCTCATTGAAGATGAAATCCAACCCCCCAAAAATATCCTTTTTTTTCTCTCCGTGACTTTCAGAAGAATGGAAAGGCATCCAAGACCAAGCCAACCATCGTCAGGGTGCCGTCTCAGCCCGGCACACCCACAGGAGGACACATCATCCCCGCCTCGGCCATCAACATCTTAGACAGGGAGCTGGGAAGAGGGGAGTTTGGCAAGGTGATGCAGGGGATATGGACTGATAAAGATGGACAAAAGGTAAGATTGATTAACCCTAACCATCCCAAATCCTCCAAAATCCTCTTTGCAAAATGGAGGATTTTGCAGGATTGAGGCGCATGTTGCTGATTTCAGCAGATGCGCTGTGTCAAGGTCTTGAGACAGACCTTGTGTTGTTTTTGCTCGGCCATGCATAAATTTAGGCCTAGATTATACTTGAAATCCTCCGCACTGCTCCACAATGTCTCTGCCTCAACATATTGACATTGATTACCATATATATGATTTTGGAGGATTGAGGCCGTATTCATCCCTCCAAGGACCACATTCAAGAAATAACACAGGATTTTGGAGGATTGAGGCCGTATGCTATTTTTACATGAAGGCAGTTGGAGGACGTTGCAAGATTTAGAATACATCCTAGCAAAAGCGCCTAAAAGTTAGCAAAAGAGCAAAGAACAAAATTTAGACCAGGCTGGCTAGTTACACATTTCTAAAATGAAAACCTGACTCCTTAATCCTGTCATGAAATTCATGCCAAAAATTCTGCTTCACAAAAAATAATTTCATGCATTTTTTTTTAATGATACAGTTGGCATGATGTTGCGCATTACGTGCATTTAAAGATATAGTCCATCATTTATAATTTGTGCATTTTGTTCGTTTGAAGCAACAAAAGTGTTCAAAATCTAATGAAGGATACTGAACAACTAACCTGATGAAGTTTCAGCTTAGCTTCAGCTGTATATTCCGAGAAAAACAGCATTCTAGGATCTCAATTTCAAATCAAAAGTTACTGAATGATGTTTTGAATTGTTTTGAATTGCAGCTATACGCGACGTCGCGCACTGATCCGACGAATTATAGCAACCCCGCGCGCGCGTGCGTCGTGCCAATGCTTGCGCGCGCTTCGCCAAATAACAAAACGAACTACTAATTTAAATTACTTCAAAATGACAGCTTCCCAGAAAGAATCATTTCACAGGGAGTTTAGTTCCCTTACTATCTTTCAACCAAGTTTGTTTTTCAAGAGTTATTACACCAGTTACATTTCGGATGGCTGCAAATGATGGACTATAGCTTTAAACATACTTGTGCCCCAATATTCCACTTATAGCTCCTCATATTAAATTTATGTAATGTAACCTTTTAATAACAGCCAGCAGTCTAACCGCTTATCTAAACAACTTCTTGATGGTGTGGTGTGCAAGAGCTGTTAAAAAATTGAAATTTCATCTGGAACCTCCTCTGGGCAAATCTAAGCAGCCTTACGTACAAACGTTCAGTTCGATTCACCACACATCCAGGTCACTGGATCTCAGCCACCACAGAATGAGGTTTTAAGCACGAACTCAATTCTGGCTTGCGGAGACTGACATTGATTATTATTAAAAAGCTCGTCTGTTGAACATTATTGTGTGGTAGCAATCGTGTGTACTCCGCAAAATGTGAGTGCATATTAGAAAGTCAGGCAAAAGATATGCAAGACATTTGTTCTTTTTTTTATCTTACAAGTACCGGTATTACATGTACAGTATGTACACAGGGAGGTCATTCCATAAATTTGGGGTTCTTTTTTTCCTGTCCCTTTTACACACTTGATGTGTTTGTTTTTGTATGGTATGCAGTCAGTTTTCAAGAGTGATCATGTAGGCCTACCAGTAGCAAACTACAAATGTACCCAACAAATACAATGTACAAAATAATTGGAAGTCATTTTTAAAGAGGTTGTGGAATGCTCGAAGACATTTCCGTCATTTTTTGGGTATATGTAGCCTAAGGTGTGATGAAATAAAAACGACTATTGTGTCTGTCATGAAATGAGTACAAAAGGTACTTTTGAGAGCTGTTTTTCAGGTCCTGTTTCGACCCAAACGTGCAATTTGTGTAAAAGTCGTCGTTGCGGGCAGCAAACAAAACACAGTAAATCGTGACGTAATAAACAGGACTCCTTTATGCTACTCTGCATCGGGAGTCCTGTTTATTACGTCACAAACTCACGATTTACTGTGTTTTGTTTGCTGCCCCCAACGACGACTTTTACACAAATTGCACGTTCGGGTCGAAACAGGCATGACAGGACTTGAAAAGCAGCTCTCAAAAGTACCTTTTGTACTCATTTTATGACAGACACAACAGTCGTTTTTAATTCATCACACCTTAGGCGACATATACCCGAAAAATGACGGAAATGTCTTCGAGCACTCCACAACCTCTTTGAGATACAGGCTTACTTGAATGGCAAATTACAAAGTACAGAGGTACATGTACGTGTAACAGGGGCATAAAAAAGTCATATTTTGGACCCTTCATTCTAGGATGACCTGTACCTAAAATGTACAAATTTATGTATTCTTAAGCAAATTTATGTGTGTTTGATGAGTTTTCTGAAAAGCCTCTGAAGTTTTGATTTGATGTAACACAACTGTATACACGCACTTCCGCATACAGTACATGTCACAGTGTATGAAATTCACAAAATTGGGGTCCAAGAATTTGTTTTAAATGAGTCATCATCTTCTGTTTATTTCCACAAAGAAAATAAGCGCTTTCAAGCAAGGCTAAATGATGAAACAAATGTGAGCTGTTTATGTCTGTCAGCCCATCAAGATGAGTATTATTTAAGCGAGAGAGGATGGGCGCATCTCGGCGTGCCAAAGCCATTAAGCGAATCCTGCGATTCTGGCCACATTCTGTCTACATGAAATCATCTTAGCATTCCCTCACATCACATCTGTCTCGTGGGTAGACTCACTCCCAGAATATGCCAAATATTACTAATGTATCAGACAGTCATACGGATTGATATCATCCATGCGCCAGTTTTAAAAGCACCATATTTGTCCTTCGAACAGGATCTTTATCAATCCGCAAAACAGTTTCTGTTTCTGGGAAGTTTCGTCTCAAGAGGTTTTGCCACAAATTTATGTTGCCCATGTGTTTTGGGGGATTATCCCACTTGATTGAAAACAAGTTTTGCTTTGCTTGCTTTCTTGGAAAGGTTCACCATCTCCATGTGTACATACATGTATGTATTTGTTGAAATTTAAGCTGTACACTTGAAAGTAAGAGAGAATTTGTGAGTCATACAAGATTTGTAAGCACAGACAACCTGTTCGATAGTAAATGCACCTTTTAAGAGAAACCACCCCATTCATGGCTTTTTTGTTCCATAAGCGTTCGGCAGTGGCAGTGACAGATTAATGACTATTATTTTTTTCCAAACCCTAATTAAAAATTCAGTGTAATGTAACACTGTGGGTACATAAATTTACATACACGTGTACACACATGTACATGTACATGTACTTGTAATTCTTACCTGATTTGTAATTTTCAAAATTTGAAAATAAAAACAATACACTGAAATTGTGGTCACCAAAAAGGGTTAAAATGGCAAACTTCTTTCTTTGCATCATGCACTGACCAGAAGTCGTATTATAATTATTTTTTTCGATGCTCACAACTGACTGTGAATTCCACGGTTTAGTGGCTTCAGCTTTGACTCATCTGTATGGAATTTTTATCAAATCATCCGACTGTTGTTAATGTCCTTGACACATGATTGTTATTTAGAGTGGTTTCTTTTTAAAGGGGGAATTGCAAAGTTCAAGTTGTTGATGGTTTGTACTGTTTGTGGACTGTCAGTCACATTTGTGTACTCTGTAAATCTGTGAGGGAGCTTTTATTATTCTAGTGGGTGACCCTCAATGACGGAAGTGACAAAATTAAACAAACAAAAAAATGTACATGTACATGTAGTTTTTCCGTTCATTAGGATTTTAGTTGTTTTGCTTAGATTATTTTGGTGTGGAGACAAGGGGAGGTTTGCATGTTGATTTGAAAATGCACACAAAAACAAAGCAAATTAGGTTTTGCCCTTCACCGACGTATAAACACTGTATACTCAGTGTGTTACCCCCCGAGTGAAAGTTGGAAAAAAAATCATCAGGTGGGACTCGAACCCACGACCTCCTGCTTTCTAGCGCAGGTGTCTTACCACTCGACCACCGAGCTAACGGGATCGGTTCGAGTCCCACCCGGGTGATTTTTTCCAACTTTCACTCGGGAGGTAACACACTGACTATACAGTGTTTATACGTCAGTGAAGGGCAAAAGCTACATGTAATTTGATTTACATCACCCCGACGCAAAAATTCCATCTTACGAAAAACAAAGCAGATACATGTGTATTTTTGTAGGTACCGGTACATAGTTTTTTAATACATTGCAACTACATGTACATGTACATGTACATGCAGTGTAAATGTACATATGCATCAGTCTTGTTCATCACAAGTCCAGTCACAAGTAACAGTGGATGAACAATGACAAAAGAGTGAAATTGTCAGAGTTGTTTTGAAAACCTTGTGTCCTGTTTTGGGACTGCATGACTTGAGCAAGTAATGGACTTCTGATGCACTCGATTTCAGTGCTGGCCACAAGTTCAGTATACTTGCACTGTGTGGGTACATGTACAATTTACATGTACAAAATGTACGCAATGTACACATGTATTGTTCCGTATGTACATGTACATGTATGTAGTTGTGGGGACTACACACGAGATGCCCCATGGTACTATGGGGACCAAAGATGCTGTGGGGACAGCAGAAAGTCCCCATAACTCGGTCCTAATTTGCCTAACAATCAAAACTTCCCCATAATGCGGTGACAGCCCGCCCATATGTACATTCGCAAACATCTACACAGTACCATACGTGTATACATGCACCAAAGGCCCCAATCCTTTGGTCTGTACATGTATGTGCGTTTAAAGTACATGTAATAGGCCCCTAATGGCTATCGGACAACTATCGGAAGTTGTCCCCGTCCCTCGTTCAAAACAACTGACTTAACAAATCACTTCTGATTACTTCATTATCCAGTGTCCTCGGACAAAGAGGAAATTTAATTTGAACAGAATCTGCAAGTACTACATGTAAATAGCCTCTCTGTTATTGAGTGGTTACTTTTTACAGGTCATTTCATTTCCAAGTATTTGTGGTCATGTTAGTTATACATCCGTCTTTCACTTA